ACTAGGCTGAAATGGTCGCAATGACAGAAATAGAATTTAGAATACAGGTGAAAATAAAGATCATCAAGATTCAGGAGAAAGTAAAATCCCAGTTCAAGTATATTAGGAAGTAAAGCAATAAAAGAGATGAAAGACAAAATGGCCGTTTTAAGAAATAACCAAAATAATCTGACAGAGCTGAAAAACTCTCACTTCAAGGATTTCAGAATAAAATCATAAGTATTAACAGGAGAATTACCAAGCTGAAGAAAGAATCTTAGAGCTCAAAGAGTCATTCTTCAAAATAACTCAGAAAAAAACTAAATAAAAAACAATGGGAAAGAAAGAACAAAACCTCTAAGAAAAATGAGATTATAAGGAGATCAAATCTATTACTCATTTGCATCCTTGAAAGAGAGGGAGAGAAAGCAAGCCACTTGAAAACCATAGTTCAGGTTATCATGCATGAAAATTCCTCAACCTCACTAGAGAGACCAACACTTAATTCCGAAAATGCACAGAGACCCTGTGAGATACTATACAAGATGACCATCCCCAAGACACATAGTCATCAGATTCTCGAAATGAAAGAAAAAATATTAAAGGCAGCTAGAGATATGGGGAAAGTGACCAGCAAAGGAAACTCCATCAAGCTAACAGTGGGTGCTTCAGCAAAAACCCTACAACCCAGATGGGATGGGGGCTTACATTCAGCATTCTCAGAGAAAACCAGTTACCACCAAGAGTTTCATATTCAGCCAAACTAATCTTCATAAGCAAAAGAGAAGTATCAGAAGTAATAGCCTTTTCAGAAAAGCAAATACCATGAGAATTTGTTACCTCCTGCTTTGCAAGAGGTCCTGAAGGGAGTGCTAAATATGGAAAGAATATGGAAAGGAAAGATGATTACTGACCACCAAAACACACACACACACACACACACACACACACACACACACACACACACAGGAGTACAGAGACCATTGACACTATAAAGCAGCCACACAAATCTGCATAAGCAGCTAATGATACAATGACAGGATCCGATCCACACGTGTAAATATTAACACTGAATGTAAATAGGCTATATGCCCCTAATTAAAAGGTGCAGAGTGGCAAATTGGATAAAGAAGCAAGACCCAACAGTATGCTGTCTTTAAGAGATCCATCACACATGCAATGATACCCATAGGTTCAACATAGAGGAATGGAAGAAAAATGTACCAGGCAAATGGAGAAAAGGAAAAAGCAGAGTTACAATCTTAAATTAATACGAAAAGGACTTTTTAAGTCAACAAAGATTTTTAAAAACAGACAAAGAAGAATGATACATAATTGTAAAGGTTTCAGATCAGCAAGAAGACCTAACAATCTTAAATGTATATGCACCCAACACAGAAGCATCCAGATTCACAAAGGAATTTCTTAGAGACCTAGGAAGAGACTTAAATAAGCACATAGTAACGCTGGAGTACTTCAGCACCCCATTGACAGTATTAGACAGATCATCCAGGCAGAACACTAACAAAGATATTTGGGACTTGAACTTGACACTTGACCAGATGGACATAAGAGACATCTGCAGATACCTCCACCCACAAACAACAGAATATACATTCTTCTCACGTGCACACGGCATATACTCTGAAATCAACCACACACTCAGCCCTAAAAAAAACCCTCACTAAATTTTAAAAACACAGAAATTATACCAACTATACTCTTGGACCACAGTGCAATTTTAAAAAAAGAAATCAGGGCTGGGCACGGTGGCTCACACCTATAAAATAATCCCAGCACTTTGGAAGGCTGAGGTGGGTGGATCACGAGGTCAAGAGATCCAGACCATCCTGGTCAACATGGTGAAACCCCGTCTCTACTAAAAATACAAAAAAATTAGCTGGGCATGGTGGTGCGTGCCTGTAATCCCAGCTACTCAGGAGGCTGAGGCAGGAGAATTGCTTGAACCCAGGTGACGGAGGTTGCGGTGAGCCGAGATTGTGCCATTGCACTCCAGCCTGGGTAACAAGAGCGAAACTCTGTCTAAAAAAAAAAATCTGTACTAAGAAGGTAGCTCAAAAATATGCATTTACATGGAAACTCAACAACCTGCTTCTGAATGACTTTTGGGTCAATAATGAAATTAAGCCAGAAATCAAGAAATTATTTGAAACAAATGAGAACAAAAGTATAGCATACCAGAATCCCTGGGGCACACCTAAAGCACTGTTAAAAGGGAAGTTTAAAGAGTAAAATGCCCATGTAAAAGGGTACAAAGATCTCGAATCAACAACCTAACATTACACCTACTGAAACGTGGCAAAACCCAGTCTCTATTAAACTATAAAAATGTTATTTGGGGGACGTGGTGATAGGCGCCTGTTAACCCAGCTACTAGGGAAGATGAGGCAGGAAAATCACTTGAACCCAGGAGGTGGAGGTGCAGTGAACCGAGATCACACCACTGCACTCTAGCCGGAACAGCAGAGCAAGACCCCATCTCAAAAATAATAATAAAATACAATACAATAAAAAGCCTTAATATGCCTGAAGGAAAGCTGCATGACATAATGATTCATGTAGTCTGCTTTCTTCATGATGTATTTCCTTTAACTTCTTTATTAAACTTAATCAAGTTGAAAAGGTTGGACTTGTATGTTTGTTTTCTTTGGTGGGATTTAAAAGCTGAAATCTGGAATTAAAAGACTGTTGGCTCTCTGTCAGTCAGATCTGTGGACTCAGATGCCCATGTGTGTGATCTCGGAGTGGCTGCTAGGAAAAGCAGGAATTTGCCTTGAATGCAATAATGAGCCTAGAAAACACATCCTGCCATCTAAGTGGGAGGAAACCAGCCTGAGAGCTGGTTATGTGGTTTTGTTGGCCTGGGCACGTGGGCAGAGAGAGTGGCTGTGTTCACACTGTTGAATTGATATTCTCTGTCTGGATGTTCTTTGTAAAATTTTTTTCTCTTTGTTGCAGTTTTAATGTTTCTGTTTACTGAAATGTCATAGTTGTACAGACTTTGGGGCACATGTGATATTTGATATATGTAAACAATATGTAACGATCAAGTCAGGGTAACTGGCATTTCCATCACTTCAAACATTTATCTTTTCTTTGTTTCAGGAACGTTGCAATTCTTCTCAAGCTATTTTAAAAGATACAATTAATTATTTTTAACTACAATTTTCCTACTGTGCCATCAAATATTAGAACTTACTCCTTATAGAACTGTGTTTTTCATGATTTAAGCATTTTACCTTTGGGCCAAATGGCTTAATTTGAATAAAAGAAAAAACCAGGAACTCATTGGTTGCTTTTTTATTCATTTTCTGTTGTTGAGAAAAAAAAGAGTCTTGCTCCACAGACTGAAGTGTGATGGCGCGATCATAGCTTAGCACAGTGTTCAACTTCTGGGTTTCAAGCTAGAGAATCTCACCTCAGCCTCTCAAGCAGCTGAAACTATAGGCGTACTCCACCGCACCAAGCTAATTTAAAAAATAAAAAAAAAACTGTAGAGATGGGATCTTGCTATATTGTCCAGGGTGGTTGGTCTCAAACTACTGGCTCAAAGAATCCTACCACTTCAGCCTTAGAGTCGCTGGACTGCAGGTGAAAGCCACCACACTGTCTGCTCTTCTTATGCAGACTTTAACTCCTTCCTTTCCATTATGTCTGGGGAGAACATCTACCACTGAAGTTGACTTTTGAAAAGCAAATAATACAGGAAAATGACTCACAATGTCTGGCACAAAACAAGCCCTCAATAAACATTATTTTAAATGATGACTAATGTTGTTATTGCTGATATTATTGTCTTTTTAACGTCATCATTCTATGACTATTACAAGAAAATCAAAAAACAGCAGGTGCTGGTGAGGTGGAGAAAAGGAATGGCTTCACACTGCTGGTGGGAGTGTAAATTAGTTCAGCTAATGTGGGAGCCAGTGTGGCAACTCCTCAAAGACCTAAATGCAGAAATGCCGTTCAACTCAGCAATCCCATTATCGGGTCTATGCCCAAAGGAATATAAATGGTTCTGTTATAAAGACACATGCACGCATATGTTCATGGCAGCACTACCCACAATAGCAAAGACATGGAGTCACCCTAAATGCCCCTCAATGGTAGACTGGATAAAGAAAATGGTACATACATACCATGGAGTACTATGCAGACATAAAAAGAATGAGATCACGTCATTTACCCCAGCTGCAGAAACAGGGATGCAGCTGGAGGCCTTGGAAAACTGATCCAAGAACAGAAAACCAAATCCTCTATGTTCTCACTAAGTGGGAGCTAAATGATGAGAACACATGGACACATAGAGTGAAATAGCACACGCTGGGATCTATGAGACGGTGGAGGATGGGAGGAGGGAGAGAATCAGGAAAATTGATAGGTGTTAGGCCTAATACCCGGGTGACAAAATAATTTCTATGACAACGCCCCATGATACAAGTTTACCTGTGTAACAAACCTGCACAGGTACTCATGTACCTAAAATAAGTTAAAATTATCATTCTATGTAAACTAAGTGGCTTCAGAGGTGCAGTCATTCACTGCTTTGCTCCAAGGGAACACAAACCCCTTTAATACTTATCCATGGCCTGGCGCGGTGGCTCAAGCCTGTAATCCCAGCACTTCGGGAGGCCTAGGCGGGTGGATCACGAGGTCAAGAGATCGAGACCATCCTGGTCAACATGGTGAAACCCCGTCTTTACTAAAAATACAAAAATTAGCTGGACATGGTGGCCTGTGCCTGTAATCCCAGCTACTCAGGAGGCTGAGGCAGGAGAATTGCCGGAACCCAGGAGATGGAGGTTGCGGTGAGCCGAGATCGCACCATTGCACTCCAGCCTGGGTAACAAGAGCAAAACTCCGTCTCAAAAAAAAAAAAAAAAAAAAACGTATCCACTTCCCATTGTGACCTGGTCTTATGAATCCATAACTGCGTGGGAGAACAATCGGTGAGTTCCTGTCCTATTCAGACGGAGCGAAGCCATCCCGCCCAGCTCCCCTCCCCATAGCAACTCTGTTCACTCCCGCGCTCAGTGTCTGACGTACCTTCGTTCAAGTTAATTTTCTCATAACCTTTCTAAATCACTTACTTTTCGGGATGAAATAACCTCAAAACATATTTCTCATGCAATATCAAGTGAAAATAATAAAGCAAAATTGGTAGGTACTGCTGAAATGCATTACAACGATATATTCAGAGGCAGACGGGAAGCTAAAGAAGCCTAGTATCGGAGCCTCTCCTGCCCATAAGCCCTTCCTAAGCTGTATCTTGATTTTGTGGTTGTATTTTTTTTTCTGGAGGGAGCCCCCAACACAATGTTTCTGGCTTTGCAAAATGAAGGTTTGTCCTTCAATATTCTCCAGATATCCCTGTCAGTGATTTCCTTCAAAAACTTACATTCAGTGATGTCTGAACACTGGAGTCTTCATTCTGTAGAAATTATTGTGAGTTGTTTTACCAAAAAAAAGCGAGGCAAACTAGTCCGTACTAAAGAATATGATATGATAGTGACAGAAATGAAGAGATATGTATGATTGTTTACCTGGAACTTTCAGCTCAAGGAAGTACTGAACAGAGTAAGCCTGTGTATCTTCCCTTTAAATTCTAGCTCACATCACCTTGTCTCCTAAGCTACTGTACTTCTCTTGTTTTTATACCTGAGCAAAGGGGTTGCCTTGTGGCATCTTTGAAATTTTGTAGAGAGACTGGTTAAAATTAAACTTCACATTAATGTTCCCAGATTAAATAAACCTGTTGTAACCGACAGGTAAATACATGGCATTGTCTGACTTCCTCTCTGTAAACCTGGGCACAAAGAACTGTTAGTGGTTACAACAGCTATCACTCTATCTGTGGACTTACAGATATTCTGACTTTTCTGTTCTATGACCATAACAATCTTTTTAAATTCCTTTTAGAAAAATATATTGTAATATGTTATACAGATCATTTCCTGGGTTATGTAATTCCTTAGAATGTCATTGTTATGTTGTTTGCAGAAAAAATTTATATCGGTTGGTTAATTATGCAGAAACTAGTCTGTATGTTTATCTTAAATGAAGAATAGAATAAGAAATATTTTTTTTAAACTCATCAGTTTAAAAATCCCGGTTGCTTATCATTTAAACAAATATGTTTGAGCATTCATCCTTATCTCAATTTTATCTTCTCTTTTGTAATTAAAGCCAGCAGTTCTAGTAAGTGCTTAATTGCGGTCTAGAGACCAAGTTTTCCCAGAAGGTCTTTTACACAAGAATATGAGGCTCAATCTTGATTAGGCAGTTAACCCATTTAATTAGAGATATCGGCAGCCTTATGTAGAATGAATTTTTTGTTTAAATTCTGCTTTCCACTGAATTTCTTATGCTAAATGAATGAAGGCTTACTGTGTGGGGTAAAAAGAAAAGAAAAAAAAGACTGTCTTACAAATTCAGTGTGATAACAATTCCTAAAATGTGTTTCAAATTAGATTTTAAAATATAAGACTTATTTTTCAGAAGTATCATATTAAATAGCTTAACTATTTAGAATATAGGTGGTTTTGCTGTTTCTCTTTGATATATATAGTCTATAAGTACTATAATTTTATTTGAAAGTTAATAAGAAAGAATTGCTGTGGGCCGGGGGCAGTGGCTCACACCTGTAATCCCAGCACTTTGGGAGGCCGAGGCGGGTGGATCACGAGGTCAACAGATCGAGACCATCCTGGTCAACATGGTGAAACCCCGTCTCTACTAAAAATACAAAAATTAGCTGGGCAAGGTGGCGCGTGCCTGTAATCCCAGCTACTCAGGAGGCTGAGGCAGGAGAATTGCCTGAACCCAGAAGGCGGAGGTTGCAGTGAGCCGAGATTGTGCCATTGCACTCCAGTCTGGGTAACAAGAGCGAAACTCCGTCTCAAAAAAAAAAAAAAGAATTGGTGTGACTTTGTAGCTACTACCTCCAATGGGGAGGCTCATTCTTGTAGTTAATTTTGCAGATCTGTTAAGACACATCTCCTATTACTTAAAAAAAATATCTTTTCTTTCTGGGAAAAAACCCTTGAAGAACGAGATTTGTCTCTATGAAAGAGGTTACATATAGTTCAGTTGAAATTATGTTTTAATTAATTACTTCATAAAATAAAAGACAATCTATATGTCTGTTTATCTAGGGGAAAAAATGCTTTCAAAACCAGCCTTGGACAGTTTAAAAGACATGATTTGGTGGAGGTAACAAGGCTTATTCATGGTAGCAATCACTTAGCTAACAAACAGCTGTTTAACCAACTCATTACTGAAGCAACAGAAAAAATTGTAGCCCCTTGACAAACTTACTGTAACTCATGTAAGATAAAAATATTCTGAAACTAGTTTCAGAATAATGGTATTTCATTTAAATAATTATGTAGAATTAATTGTATTATTGGCTGCACAGATTATTCAGGTAAAATAATGTCTGCAAAAAGGATCTTGAGGTATGTATATGAGACATATTTGGCCTTATATTGAGTTTCGATAACCTCCGAGTTACCAGGATGCAGGAGCTGGGGGCATGTTGGGGTAGTGATGTAGGGCAGTGCCGGTGAGTTAAGTGCATCCCTACGTTAGGGAACACAACTTGAAGGATCTTTGAGGTCTTAATTGGGATAGAAACATATCTCTTCCTTACTTTAGCCTGAAATTTTAACATTACACTTAGTATGTAAATTATTCTCAATAATATTTTTGGAATGATGGAAACTTAACTTATCTTTGAACATAAAAGATAAATTCTCAAGATAACATAACTATATTTTGAAAAGAATTTTACCAAAAGGTCATACTGGGTTTTTCAGTCTTACTTTCATATACATAGAATTCTATATGCTGTCTTTTTCTTCATTGCAAACATATGTCTTCCTTCTTGTTCAGTTTAAAAATACATTTTATTCAGCCAAAAAAATTAGGCAAAATATTTCAAAAACACAATATATGATGAAATTTTTATTCAGTCATATCAAAATAAAATACTTCGTAAGTTGTATGGCTCCCTAGCATACAGAGTTATTATTGACACTTCCATTGTTAGAACTTTATTTTTTATTGCCTGATAGCAATAACAGTAATAAGGAGATAATATGTTTGCATATCCATAGCTTCTATTCTGCACCTTTTCTAGTTCTCATCTCCTGTAATGAGTTACCTAACATCTTTCCATCTTTCTATAATAAGAATTTGTATAAAAGCAGAATGCAAACTTCAAGATAAATGTGGAGGTCAATAATGCCAAAATATATGTAGATGATGATAAGAATGACAAGAGGCCATATTATGAAAATAACAATGAATTAAATTCATACTTCAAAAATTATTTAGGGGAAAATGTGTGGCTTTCAGTTTATGGGTCCAGTAAGAGTAAACTAGTTCTCAAAACGATCATGATCAGCAGAAATGATAACGTTGCCTCCTCTCTACCTGGTGAAGGACTGGGAGTGGTTTAGAAAACACTTCAGATGGATGTTTCATTAAGTTGCTGAAGGTCCAAGCCACTACATAATGGAGTAGGCTACATTATAATTATATGTCTTTGAGGTTGGAAATTGCAATTTATTGAATGTATTGGTGAATAGAGTATCATAAAATATATCATGCTTAATAGATTTATTTTACATTAATTTCAATTGAACTTTTTGTTTGGAATTTCATCTAAATAAAGAAAAGTGTGGTGGTTCAGGCCTATAATCCCAGCACTTTGTGGGGCCAAAGCGCTGGATCACCTGGGGTCAGGGGTTTGAGACCAGGTTGGCCAACATAGTGAAAACTGTTTCTACTGAAAATACAAAAATTAGCTGGGCCTGGTGGTGCATGCCTGAAACCCTAGCTACTCAGGAGGCCGAAGCAGAAAAAAATCACTTGAACCCTGGAGGCGGAGTTTGCAATGAGCCAAGATCATGCCATTGGACTCCAGACTGGGCAACAGAGTGAGACACTGACTCAATAAAAGAAAGAAAGAAAAGAAAGTAATATTTGCTATTGGGTGAGGAGGTTGGGAGTTGAGAAAATTCTTTCTTGGGACTAAGGAGACTCTGGATGTGTTTTAGGAGCTTCTGTGTTCATCTTAGCACATCTCTTTCACCTGTCAGGTAAAATATTTATATTTATAAAACATTATATTTGCTATAGCCTTGGTCTTCAGCACTATGAAGAGAATTTTGTAGCATTTAATGTTGTTGATGTTTACCAGAGGATTATGTTTTGTAATTAGAGGTGGGAGAAAATTTGATTAGAAAATCTTCCAATGCACTTAACAAACAGCTTAGGGATTCTGCTTAATTAAAATTAAATGAGGAGGATGATGAATAGATCTTTTTAAATCTCACAGAATTTTAAAGTGTATTTAATGTTTGGTAGGTAGTTGGGTGTGATTAGTATTCCTTTAATATCTCTTAACCACACACTCTCAGCAAGTTGATTTGTGTAAAGAATCTAATTAAGCCTGACATACCAAGGCCTATGTCGGAAAGGTACTGTAATTAACATAGAATTTTACTAACAACGCAATTTAGGAGGAGAACAAGAGCAGCATACAAGGCAGTCTTTTGCTTGGCTGTGGAAAATGGAAGGGAGGCATGGATTTGTTTCGGGAGTTTAGTGAAACCGGTGGCATGCTTCATAGCCAAGTAAGATTTGCAACATCAAAACACCAGTGTGTTTCTGTTCTGGAATATTCTTTTGATGTTTCCAATCATAAAGCATTTTTGACTGAATTATGACCAGTAGGTATTGTAATTGTTTATTTGTATGTGTATATGCAAAATCTCTATTTGTCCAGTTTTTATAGCTACTTTTTGAACATGTAACATGTCATCAGATTAATCATTTAAAAAAAATTTACCATGTGCTTTTCTAAACTGTTCTTAGAGAATATATCATCTTTAACATGTTTATACCAAAGATGCATTTCATATATTATGCAAGTAAAATTGCCACTAATAAAACTGCTAGTCCAAAATGTATGCAAATGATAAAAGTTTACCATAAAAAATAATTTTTAAAAAATCTATCATGTGTTACCAAAAATATATTAGTGTACATTGAATCACATTCTTGACCTTTTAAAAAGTAACTTAATAAGGTTGTTTTATTTGCATGACATTGATTTAGGCTTAGATAGGTAATTACCCTATTTTAAACTTTCTATTTTTTTTTTATGAATCGCCTATTTATTTCTTTTTCCTGGTTATTCAGTCAGGTCTTTTTTTTTCTTTCACTTAATAGAGCCTTTATATTTAAGACAGTAAAAAATTAACTTTATTGCCCTAAGAATTTTCCGTGTGTTCTTGTTAAAATCTATATTTTTCTGCATGTATTTTTTGAGAAGTAAACACTAATAAGTTTGAAAAATGATCATCATATGATGACATGATAATTCCAACAATTCCAAAACTGTTGCTCATCTTCTTATTTTTATTTTTAAGGCAATTTCCCTACCCTGTAAAAGTGATTGATAATATATATTATATGAGATATATTACTGTATTTTATATAGTAATTTATTCTATTACATAAATTTTATTATAGCTATCATATTATTTTTCTATCATACTCAATTATACCCAATATTTTATTCATTTACCTCTATACAGTCTTATTGTTCTATTTCCTTCCTGTTAGCTTTTGGTAAAGAATTTTCACTCTTGTTTTGAGTTAAATGTCTTCTTTCTAGATTTTATAAAAATAATTATGTCAAATCTGAAATATATAATCTTAAAATTTAGGTTGAATTTTTATTAATTGGTTTAATAAGTATTACCTTATGATGATATTTATTTTATGAATTCAGTGACATTCCATATTTTATATTGCATACATATTTTATAATATAATCCTTCTGGTATAATATTAGAATATAGTTTAAATATTAGTGAGCAATTGTAATTAGTTATGTGACAATATTTTACACTAGTACAAAAGGAAAGATAACTCAATATTACTAGTTTCATGTAATTATAAGTTTTTAAATCAATTTATATACTTGCAGCAACTATTTGTATTATTTTTAGTTTTTCAAAAATAGCCAAGCTCTTGCCATGCTCTTTACAGTGACTCTGACGGGAAATACCATGCTGATCCACCTCATTCGACCAGACACCAGACTCCACACTCCAGTGTACTTTCTGCTGAGTCAGCTCTCCATCACACTCCAGTGCACTTTCTGCTGAGTCAGCTCTCCATCACTGACATGACGGACGTCTCCACCACGGTGCCCAAGATGGCAGTCAACTTCCTCTCACAGAGTAAGACCATTACATTTTTGGGCTGTGAGATTCAAACATATGTGTTCTTGGCCCTTGGTGAAACTGAAGCCCTTCTTGGTTTTATGTCTTACCATCACTGCGTAGCCATCTGTCATCCTTTACATTATCCTATACAAGCAAGAAGATCTGCTGCCTCATGGTCGCACGCGCATGGGCCAGTAGTTCTGTCAGCACTTTCATGCATACGTTGTATGTGTTTCAACTTCCATTCTGTAGGTCTCGGCTCATTGACCACTTTTTCTGTGAAGTTCCAGCTCTACTGTCATTGGCGTGTCAGGACACCTCCCAGTATGAGGATACAATCCTCCTGAGTGGATTTACTATTCTGCTGCTACCATTCTTGGCCATTCTAGCTTCCTATGCCCGTGTGCTTATTGTGGTATTCCACGTGAGCTCAGGAAAAGGACAGGCAAAAGCTGTTTCTACTTGTTCCTCCCACCTGACTGTGGCAAGCCTATGCTATGCAACTGCTCTCTTTACCTGCACAAGGCCACACGCCTTGCATTCCCCATCACAGGGCAATTTTACACCATTATCACACCTCTACTGAACCCATCCATTTATAGCCTGTGAAATAAGGAAGTCATGGGGGCAATGAGGAGACTGTTGGGATAATGGCTATGCTATGGAAAATGCGACTGTAGAACCCTGTATCGATTGAGAATTAACATCAAAAGCTGTTCCTGAAAACTATCTGGAAAGATATAAATATGTGTTTTCTGTATAGAAGTCACAAAAACAATGTTTATCAAACTTCTTTAACTTCTAAAGAAATAGAATTTAACCTTCTCAACTCAGTGTTCCCCTGGCATGTTCATATTTTGACTTGCCCTCTTGAATGCTCTGAAATGTGAACCATAGAAGTAAAATCTACCTAAACATGTAACATCAAGATAATCTATATCACAACAAAAGTTGACAGAGAAAAAAATGTGTAAGACATTCATTCATTCTTTCACTCAGGTGTTTTAATGCTTTAATTTTGTGTGAGACACTGTTACAGGCACTGGTCATGTGAGAGTAAACAAAAAATAAATGCTGACAGAAATCTCTACTGATCAGCAACCTTAATTCCGTCTGCCACCTTAGTTTCCCTTTGCCACAGAACCTGATGTATTCACAGTTGCTGGAAGTTAGGCCTTGTGGACATCTTTGGTGGGCCATTTTTCTCCCTCATGTGTAGTGTTGTGTACAATGGTGTATGTTTAACAGAAGAACACCAAGGCCAACTCCTGGCAACACTAAGGCCTAACCGATAAAAGCCGGTCATCCCTGAATTGCAGGGACTGCTTTTTCCAGGTGAATCAGACTTAAATGAAAAATCTTTAATCTCTTCACTTAGATCATGTCCACCATACTGAACATGTGTCTCCTTTGGATTAATTTTCCTTACTATGATGGTTTCATTTTATTTTGTTCATCTATATTCAATAATGTTTAAAATATGATTACTTCAATAACACATTTTAATCTAGTATGAAGAATTGTGCAAACCAGGGTCCCAGTGATTGATGGTGTGCTATTGCATTTTGTAACAGAGAGTTCTCCTCAGTTATGCTTCTAAACATTCACTAGGAGGGTAACAGCATTACATCCTAAACACTTCTCAGTAACCAAGTACTATGCAAAGCTCAGAAAGCATATTTTGTTAATTAACACACACATACTAAAACCTTATTCAATGGTTTGAGCAAGTATCACTGTGTTATCTTCATTATATAGATTGAGACCAAAGTTTACAGTGGTTAAGAACTTCTCCATGAACAACTCACTGATAAATAGACAAATCCTGATATGAACTATATTGCCTGATTCTCAGATCCTCCCCCCAAATTAATGACTCTATTACGATTTAAGTATTTGGTACAATGTAAAAAAAATCTTTTTAGGACCCAGCAATCCCATTACTGGGTATCTACCCAAAGGATTATAAATCATCCTATTATAAAGACACATGAACATGTATGTTCATTGAGGCACTGTTTACGATAGCAAAGACTTGGAACCAATGCAAATGCCCATCAGTGAAAGACTGGATAAAGAAAATGCAGCACATATACCCCCATGGAATACTATGCAGCCATAAAAAAGGGTAAGTTCATGTCCTTTGCAGGAACATGGATGAAGGTGGAAACCATCATTCTCAGCAAACTGAAAGCCAAACAGAACAGAAAACCAAACACCACATGTTCTCACTCGTAAGTGGGAGCTGAACAAGAAGAACACATGGACACAGGGAGGGGAACATCACATACTGGGGCCTGTTGGGGGGTAGGGGGAGCTAGGGGAGGGATAGTAGGGGTTGGCAGTTTGGGGAGGGATAACATTAGGAGAATTACCTAATATAGGTGATGGGGGGATGGATGCAGCAAACCACCATGGCATGTGTATACCTATGTTAACAATCCTGCACGACCTGCATATGTACCCCAGAACTTAAAGTATAATAATAGTAAATTAAACATTAGTATATCACATTTATTTAAAAAATTATTTTTAGTGGAAATTATGTTTACTAGCTAATACAGTTTTTTACACTGTTGAAGAATGCCAGTGTTATGATAACTAACTCCTTTGGGAATAGTAAATGGTGTAACATCACAGCCAACTTTTTGTAAGGGAAGAAACATGAGGAAGTGTGGATGGCTGGGCTGATTATAGTGTTTAGAGAGTGCACATCATATGGATTCTACAAAGTCAAAGTTTTAAAGCATAACCCAGATGGAAACCAGGGAACCCTACCAAACGCTGTAGATAACAAAGCTAGAGAAAAAGAGACTATGTCAAACATTGTGAGCTGGTATCGTGGCCACAGGGTTATGAAAAGATCCTGCATGATATGAGCCATTATGGGAACTAAGGTTTGTAGATATTAGGAGAATTCAGCCTCAACAACCAATCGTGTACTGGGGACAGGGGAGAGAAAGGGGAAAAGCTAACAAAAAATCTATCACAGACCACTTAATAACTTCGTATTTCTGAAGATTTGTTTGAGAAAACAATTCACTTGTGTGTGGACAGATAGACAGACTTCCTCTTCCTTAACGTCCTAGGAAAGTCAGGAACCACAGTGCTACAGTATCTGCAAAACGAATATAGAGTAAGTGATTTCCAGCAGACTCAGAAGTGTTATTAATACACAGAAATATATTAGCATGAAAGTTTACATTTTAGACCCAGTTAAATAACATCTAAATATATTATCTTCTTTTTCTGGTTTGTGTGTGTGTGTGTGTGTGTTTGTGTGTGTGTGGTTTTCATGCCTGATTAATGAAAGTTAAGAAAATCCTGTGACTGAAGTTTATTAATATTTAATGATGTATTTATGGGAAGGAAATTGCTGTTTTCTCTTCTAAGCTTGAGTAAGGGAAGAGTCAAAGCTTACAGCATCTGAAGGGAAAATCAGGGCAGGTGTCAGCAGAAAAGAGAGTAGGGTAGAAAAAAGACAGGGGTACCTATGATGTGACTCTTTTCCTCCTGCACCATAACACCCTTTGCGCATGCACACACACACACACACACACACACAAGCTGCACACCCAGGCCCATCCTGGCACTTCTGCCAAGTTCCTTTAAGGGGGATTACACAACTGCTTTCCCATTGCCTCTATTCTCATAAAACATTCTAAGAAATTTTCAGATTTAGTCACTATTCCAACCTGGAAATTAATGCCCTTGACTTTGAATCCTAGATTTTACTCATATTATGGCTTCATTTTGGGTAGTTACATAACTTTATTGAGACAAGTTTTCTCATCTATAAATGGGGGAAAAATACAACACCATTTCACAGGCCAACTCAAGTAAAATCAAGCAGTCATTTATTTATTTATTTATTTTCTTTTTAAGATTGAGTCTTGCCCAGGCTAGAGTGCAGTGGTGACACAATCTCAGCTCACCACAACCGCCGCCTCCTGGGCTCAAGCGATTCTCCTGCCTCAGCCTCCCAAATAGTTGGGATTACAGGCACCTTCCACCATGCCCAGCTACTTTTTGTATTTTATCAGAGACAGGGTTTCACATGTTGGTCAGTCTGGTCTTGAACTCCTGATTTCAAGTAATCCTTCTGCCTTGGCCTCCCAAAGTGCTGGGATTACAGGTATGAGCTACTGTAGCCAGCTTCAGTCATTTCTTAATGCAAAATTAATATATTGAGTCATTGTTATTGATACTATTAATGTTCTTTAATATTGTCAATATTATATTATCAATAATTCAATTATTTCGTATTTAATCAATTTGTCCATAAAGACCAGCTTTTGATTTCTATTTTTGCTCTTTTTCCTCTGCTCTCTTACGTCATTGGCTGCCTATAATTACCTACCTATTTGAATATGAATCTCAAATAGCTCTTTATATGTTGTTTTTGAGAACCCTAGTATAATTATTAAAAATAATTCCACAAAGTCTTTTACTTTCTTACTAGTTGTGTAAGTCAAAATGAAAATATAGAAACAAGTCTATAAATTTAATATTTTATTTGGGAAGAACAAATTACAATTTGGGGCACACTGGTAGTCATCGGTATGCCCAAAGAACAAAGAGGTTAGAAGTGTTATAAAAAAGAAGAAATGTTACATATTACTCTTTGAAAAAAAAAAGTTTATTGGCACTAGTGAGAGTTTGGGGAGCTGGCAAACTCTGACTGGAGAACAACTGCGGTGGGCAAAATTAGCCCTAAAATTGCAACAAGTTATCTCAGAAGCTGTAGATAATCTGGCTTCTGGCTACAGTAGCAGTTTCAGCAGTCAGGGTTGCAGAGAATTACATCCTTTTGGAATGTTTTGTACCCTCAGTGCTTTTTACTTCCGGTTTGTCAACTCCATGTTAGTTGGGTAGGGCAAGGATGACCCAGTTCTTATGATCACCTTAGAAACGCAGAACTATACTTCAGGCAATTACCGAATGCTTACATTTTGGTCATGACACAGAATTGTAATAATCTGCCAGACTTAGGAAAATCTTTGTTGTCAGGAAGG